GACTATCTCGACCGGGCTGTGAACGACCGTCTATTCACAGGTGCTATCCCACTACTGTTTGACGCGGGAGCTTTTGCCTGCTGTGTTTCCACCCTGGGCCGGTTCGCTCCTCTTTAACCAACCTGGAGAACTCAGACTCCTCTGTGTTCACCATATTGACGCCAAACTTAGCGCGGACACCCGATCTACATAGAACAGCCGCTCCCAGGAATCCCGCCCTCAAGCCATTCAACGACCCCAGCCTCCAAGTAGCTAGATTACAGGCGTGCGCCACTACGCCCGGCTGATATACGAAGGGGAAAATTTAGTTACTGATTTGTTCCCTGCCTCGCTTTGAAAGAAACGGAAGTGAAATCTGCCAATCGACTTCCGGTCCACATGATTAAAAAAAATGGCGGACTTAGTGTTGACATGGTTAGGTAAAATTCGTACTAAATTCCACAGAATAACATCAAACGAGGAATAATTTGGAGTCCCCTTTTCTTAGAAAATACCGTACTAAGTTATTTCGCGGCTTCTTTCGATTATAAAGACGATCAAAATAACCCGAGTATCGACGAGAATTGAACGACTTGTCGGCCATTGCTGTGCTTTGTCTTGTGGCGGTGTTAGGTCTCATAGGGCAAGGAATCACTTACCAGCTGGGCAGAATCTCTGGACTGGTAAGTGAAATCCAGTTCTTTTCCCGAAGGGCCTCTATCTAACGCCACGGAGAGCAAATGTTCCGCTGGAATAACATGACCTAGGAAGACAATGTAAACGAGCTAGAGGTTAGTTGCAACGCTTTTAATCCTTGGAAGAGGAAACTTTACATTCTAGGCAAAGAATTAAATATACCACAAGAAAACTCTATTATGTTTTCACTTGGGAGTCCTGCACAAGTAAACAGCTGGTCTTTGAAATCTGACATCTGAAAGGTAATGTAGAGAGAGAATTTTAGCTACAAGTACTAAAACCTGATAAACTCAAAACGGTTTGCTATAAAGTTACACTGAGTTTTAAATTGATCATTTTGTTTTATTGTCAGTGTTCAATGGGTGTCCAGCAGAGGACCATATCACTCAAGGACAATTTAAAAGAGGACCTATGGACAATCCAAGAAACCATACACATGCCAACCCATAGATTTACCACTCATATTACACTGGTGACATCATTTAGGGCAATGTCAGATCATGAAGGTAAGGTAATGATAAGGAAAAATTTCTTGCTCCCTTTCTTGCTGACCGTCAAACAAAAGTGAATGAGGATATCTTATTAACCAAGCGCAAGGGTTGTGTTGGGAGTATATCAGCCCTCGGTCTTGATGCACAGCAAGGTCTATACAAAAGAGTTATCTTGTCAGTTGTGGGATCATTCAGGACAGGGCCCAGTCCAATTCTTGAAGAATAATGAACGGGCAATAGAGCAATCTGACTGGTTGATTTTAGTTAATGACCCTCTGATTTTGTCTTATAATATAGTTATAACCAACAGAGATGGACTGAACATTTCATCAGCAAATTATACAATCTCATAATTTACAGGTTGCATTGTTCCTCCAGCCACAATAACTGCTCTGGCTTCTCTGACTATGCTTGTAAAATGGACAGCAGGGTTCAAAAGTAGAAACTTCAGGCTGGAACTACTGAGTCGATCTGTTACAAGTTAAAAAACAGAGGATGTGCAGCTGTCAATGACAACAAGATATGGTATGTTGGTGTGGGAAAAAACTTCAGTTGGTATGATGGACCCTGCTATTTAAATAATTTTATGCCCAATTCAGAGGTGAATAACAAAAGACCAAACTTTTACCAAAATTGCATTGGACAAGCAATCCAAGTTTAAGCCCAGGCTCAGTGAAGTCTTGTGTTTTTATCTTGGGTAAAACAGAATACTTCCACTGCTTTTCTAAGAGCATTGAGCTTTTTTATGTAATGCGCTAGAAATAAATTATTATAATTATTATTAGTGCCACTCTTCACCCAGACAGATAAATGAATACCGGCAAATTAAATGCCAGGGAAGTATACCCTGTGATGGACTAAGAGGGAGTACAAATACTCCAGGTTGCTACATCCTACTGAAAGCAGAGATACATATAAGCACTGGCCTGATAGGCCATGCATTGGACAACAGCTACTGTACCGGTTTAAACAAAGTCATTCACCTTGCTTATTAACAACAACCCTTCCATCTTTGTCTGCATTTGTGAGAGCTTCCAAAAAGCTCTCAATAATCTGAAGAGGAGAAGTACTGCTCTGATACAATGTGTCCTCTTCTGATCCTAACACAATCACAAAGAAATTATGCTCTTAGTAACACTTTTACTATTTCTCTAGTATCAAATTAAACTCTCAAGGTCCTCTAACAAGGAAATGTTCAAGTGAACAATTTTGGGATGAGAGCAAACTTGATAACAGTAAAATATAAAACCATATTCAACAATATTTGATGCAAAACCAGAGGAAGACTAACCTGCACCCACTTGTATAGAATGATACTTGTCAATAAATCCATTCAGCTATATAGAAACGACAACAAAAATCTACATATTTGAATGCGTTTTCCAGAAAGGAATGACTGTTGAAACAGTACTAGTGTGGACCTGTTTAAATCTCTACTTCTGAATACATACTTAAACCTTACATGTATGCCCTTCAGATATAGCCAGCATAGGACGCATTTCTGTATGACGTAGGATTTTCACCTTTTGGTGACAAAACATCGGGGCCAGTTCATTGTTCTTGCTCCAATTGTCATGCACCCTTAAATACTGTATGGGAACACTGTCTTGCTACACATATGAGGCTAGTCAAAATTGCCTAGAAACTAAAATCAAGTATTCAGTGTCCTTTATATATTTAACTGATTAATACAAAATTTCCTAGAAAGATCTCAATTAAGATTCGTATCTCACCTTTTTAGAGATCATGCTCTTCTCGCAGTATTTTTTAATCTAAGAATTAATTCCATCATAAGCAAGTCAGAGAGAGTTTAAAAACAGTAATATACTAAATAAAAATACAAATTATTGTATTATGGCCTTGATCTCTATTTTACCTTGAAAAAGTTGACATTGTCCATCTGGACAGAAAACAAGAAGTCATTGATTGTTCTAAGCTTTACATCTGGATAGAAGAGGAAAATAATTACATAATAATAATTCATTGATTGGTAGAAACTGTGTACTGAAATGTTTAAATTTGTGAGTATATTATATTTTATAATTATTACAACATATGAAATTTTACATTGTATACATTGCTTCCCGAGGCCTCTTTTGATACCTAGTCACACAAGAGTTAACTAAAGATATAAAGCCATTACACAGGTAACATAACGAATAATGAAAACAACCTTGCGTTCTTGCTTCTTTCGCACCACATTCATCAGTTGTAATTGATGATATTGCTTTTGATAGATTTTGCTCCTTTCCTACAGATATGTTAAAACAAAATATATTCTTACTATTACGGTAGTTACTATCAAATAGACAATTTAAAGAAAAATCAAATAATTTAATTTAAAAAACAAGTCATTCAATTAACTATAGATAAACAAACTTACCACCCAGACCGTTTAAGAAACATGTCAAGACATAGAGTAGCTGCTGGATGTATAGTAAATTTTTTGCCTTTAATCTTGTCCTGATTGAAAATGAAAGAAAAAGGAAATTTTAACCAGCTGCAAGGATGATTTTGCTTGTCTGGTTTGACCATCTTATAAAGGAGTTCAGTTAAAAAAAAGTTTAGCCCGCCTGTGAAAACCAGTTGCCCTCCTCAGTGTCGAAAATGTTAAAGAAACCCCTGAATAACTATCAACATAAAATGAATGTGTATGTACACATTGCACAATATACCAGTAAATCTGAATTAATAGTTTTCAGGGTGGCAGAGCTTATCTTCTCCTTGTGCCATTATTCCTGTAGCCTTTGCTTTTTGGGAACTGCTGTTCAAAACCACTTTGTGTTTTTGTTGGTACAGTTCACTTTTTTAAAATGAATATAACTGGGCAGAATGAAATATTACCTGTAACGATCTTGATACTGTGTCAGTTGTGAATGTGCACATGAAATCTGAAACATGAAACAATTCCGTCCAGATTATGTCACCCAATCAAATTATTCTGTCACCCAATCAACTTATGTTGTGCTAATCAACTTTCAGAGTGCTGTAATATTTAGTCTGAGTGCGTTTCCAATGCAGCCTGTCATTCAGCCCTTTAGAAGTTAGTAAATATTACTAAGTAAGTTCATATACATTATAATGGAGTTATATAATTTACAAGGCTAAGGAAATACATTTGAACCCTGCCATTTTGAACTCATAAGGGAAACATAAAATTGTTCCAGATGTCAGGGGTTCTAGATAGCCTATAATGAGTGATTGAAGAAGTGATTTGAAAAGTTAATGATCTGAGTGAGAGATGGCCAGAGGTTTAAGATAACTGACTTTGAGATAGCAAGGTTCCGCTAGATAGCTTAACCTAAAGGAATAATGACATGAAGTATGTAGTTGGCTGTGCCGTCAGAGTGGCCAGCGGTTCTAAGTACTTTGTACAAGTTTGTCCAGGATTCAATATTTCCTAGACATGACGCAATGGTGCAATGCACTTACAAGTATAAAAAAAAATCAATTATTATTGAAATATTAACAACGAACCCAAGCTAATTTTCCAGCTTATATATAATTACCTGAGAACCAGTGATTTCAATACTATGTACACTACTGATTGTGTCAATCAAATTGTGTGCTTCATCTATGATGACTACATTGCCGTCAAGCCGTATTCCACAGGCTTTTCTGGTGGACTTGTGGAGAAGGATGTTATAGGGCAAAACGACAAGCTGGTTGAAGACAAAATTGGAAAAAAATTAGATTTCCTGATCATGAAGGGAATGGTACTTTACTCAAAACAATTACTTGTTTTCCACCAGTACAAATTATTTTCAACAGCTAACTCTGGAAAGCTGGCATATCAACTTAGAACAAACGCCCCTTAACTACTGGTACCTTACAAATGACTTACTCACAATTAACAAGACTTAGAGACCCAAAAATTACTAGAACTGACAAATGACAGTTGTATCAGTTTCAACAAACCAGACTACGTCTTATAACACTATTGACTTACAAACTTTTATCACTTGACTCTCAATGACTGCAAAATATCATTCACCAACAACAGTGCTTTTCAGATCTTCCCTCTCCCAGATGATCACACTTATCTAGTATGACCTACTGATACACCCGCTAATTTATTACATGCATATTTATAATAAATACAGTATAGCTGAAAGAAAGCATATTGGCATGTTCATGTTTGAAGCCTGTTCATTTTACCATCATTTTTTAAAACCTAATTTCACCAAATTAAAAAGTAACTACTTACTAGTACTTACTATGTCTCAATCTGTTAACTGGAAGTAAGAGTTAGACCAATCATTTATGGAAGAAATTCCCTTTGGACTTCACAAATCAGTTGCCAAATCAAAGCTCATGCTTGTAACTCAAGAAAACAACATGTACCAAAAGCTGGTTTTGTGTCTGCCAAAAAATTTTTGGAGCGGCAAAATGAATTTCAAACTGAAATGTCTAACCTGTGCTGGAGGTATGGCTAATCTTGTTCCATAGTAAGGACAAGCATTGAGTTTCTCTCCAACTGAAACAAGCTGCTCAATATCTTTTATATCAACCTGTCAAAAACACACAATCTGACATTTAAACCATAGTTAGCCTTAAAAAATCTCTCAGCAGGACCAAAATCAAATGCAGTTGAAAATTAAAAATCAAATTTCTAACTTGGCTCTTAGGCATAGAGGATTACCGTAAATCCTCAAATTAGTGCCCGGGCACTTATTTCAAATTTAGGAGAAAAAGGGGGCCACTTATTCAAGGGGGGCACTTAACCGAGGGAGGCACTTATTTAATTTTTCCCAAATGGTGGCCTGACATGATCATTTTTTTCAATGCATCATCTGCACATAAACAACAACATAAGCTGTTTAT